TAAATCCCCAGCCCTTCCATTACTTTTGACACAGAGCAAAACTGTCATAAATTTATGACACAAAAATTAACTGCATATTTTCAGGTTTAATCTATCATGTATCTGGTTTGCCTCGAGTTATTTATTATGATTTTATTTTAAATTGCTTCTGGTTTAAAAAGTGTGATGTATATAGAAAGAGCTTTACATGATTTAAAAGATGGAAATTACCCATTATTTTCCTATGGAAGGTAAATATTTCAAAGATCACATTAAAACATTCCACCAGGTGGCACTAAAGACTCATTTATGATTTTGGCTTTTCTTCACAAAAGTAAATGCAGCTTTTATGTATTTGATGATGATATGCTATGACATTGCCAAATAGGGGAAGTACTTCTTGAGTTAATTTTTAAAGTGTATATAGAATACATCTGAGGAATAGTTATTACTCAGGGTTGGTAATTAAAATATTTTAGCTGGCTCGTAAGAGTGAACTGCTTTCCCGGATGCCTTCTAATAGAACACCTTGTTGGCCAGCCCTGGTTTGTGTCTTGGCCATCTGTGTTTCCTTGCCCAACGGCTCTGCACTCCTGGCTCTATCATCGTGGACTGTGGAGCCAGGGAAGTGGAAGGAGCAGTGGAAACGTGGCAGATGAGTGCTGGCTATGAAAGAGGTGTTGTTGCTACCAGTGATTTCCCTCTGGCATCCTCCTTCCTGCAGAAAGGTAATGCTTGGTTCAGGTCTTAAAAACATTGTGCCTGCATTACTGCAAATGCCTCCTAACAGATCTTCCTGATTCTCCTTGCTCTGCACTTGAACTTCTCCTAAATGCTCATTCCCAGGTTATGTGTACTAAAATGTGTCTCTAATCACATTGCTTACTGTTAAAAATGTTGCAGAATTTAGGATCTCCAAATGGTCCTAACTTTCTAACAATCTTTCCCACCAGTTCATTTTGTACAGTTTGTTCCAGCCAAACTAGTCTCCTTGCTGTTTTCCCAAGTGATTTCTCCCACTTCCTTCCTCTCTTGCCATATTAAATTCTGTTACAATCCAGCTAATCCTTAGTTTGTTTCCATGAGTCATTTTCTGATCTTTTCAACCAAGATGAACATTTTGCCTTCTTTGAATCCAGTATTTATCCTCTTTTTTCCATATTTCTGGCTTTTGTCTTGTTTGTATTAAATTCTTGTCTTCCACCATTAGTAAGTTCCTTAAGAGCCAAAAACTTTACCTATCTCCTTTAACATAGTGTCTTGTGGATGCTAGTTGAATTGCTGAAGTAATGATTGTGATATGAGAAACTACCCAAATCTCAATTTTTCTCATGTTTTCAGATGGTAGCACAGAAAACTTCAATTCCAGTTATTTGTTTTTGAGAGGGCTAAAATGGAGACACCACTGCCTTTACTCAGTTCTTTGGTCACTTGGAATTCCCACTGTATTCCATTTTCCTGCCCCTCCTGCCTCTCCAATGCTACTCTACCTCTTGCTTTGTCACTCTGCCTTCCTGCATGTCTCCCTCCTACTAGCCTTTGAATTCTTTGCTCAGGGGTCATTCAGTCTGCTTACCACCCTTCCATCCCAGGCTGGTTGCTCTTGCCCCCTCCGTGCAGCTGGGCCCTTTGTACTGTGTTATCACTGAGTGTATCAGAGCTTTTATGTCTTCCTCATTAGACAGTGAGTTCATCTGACCCAAGTCTGTGTCCACATTACCTACTCTGAACCAAAGTTCCATGTTTGGAGAAACCTTGGTGATCTCTTCTCCACCTAGGATAGGTTAGGTCCATACAAAGTGTGATGGGCAAAGAGAAGAGCTCCTAATTCACACCATTCTTCTGTGTTACTGTTAAAAATGAGGAGGTGTCAAGGCCACTGACCTAAAAGGCCTCCTTTTATTCTCCGTTGCTGCCTCCCACCTTATGCATTGGTACAATGTAATTCACTCTCATGTTCAAGTTGCCCTGTAAGTGCTCTTGAAGTATTTCCTGAGGAGTATATCTATCTCATGGATGGGCTCTTCTTTTTTACCTCCTCCTAGTGCTCTGGTGCCTGCTACTGTAACCCTACAGACACTGAAAAGGATGAGTAATGGGCTGTGGAATCCTGAGACAGGGACTCCTATTTAACACATTTGTATATTTCTGTTGTTGGTAGCTAATTTTTAAATTAGCCTGACAGTGAACTGTGGAGACATTATTTATTTGTGTTAAGGACAACAGTATGAGGGAGGTACCATTATTATCTGTACATTTTTTTTCCAGATAAAAAGTCTAAGATTTAGAGAGAATTACAAATATTTTCATTCCACATAAGTGAATTTCAAATTGGGGCTAGAATGGTGGCTATTTGATGCTAAATATTTGATGTTGGCTTTCTGCCTGCTCCAGGGACCCTTTCCTGCATCAGCAGAGATTTGGGTCTGCTGCTCCCTGCTTTAATAGAGAATCACTTGCTGCTGATTTGGCCTCAAGTGAGCTGATAGAAAATTTTAGCTGCTAGAGTTTTTACCCCCTCTTAGAGCAATATTCAAATTTTCAAATTTTAACTAGGATAGAGTTAAAACTTGAATTATCTCATCAGTTTGTGCAAGAAACAAAGCAATGGAATGGAATATATTGACAATTAGAGTAAATCTAAACCAGCAGGTCCACATGGTAGTTATCTTGGGTAAGTTGAGAAATTGCCTAATGAATATATTAAATTAATTATGTTTTTCAAAAAATTATGAACTGTTAAGAAGTAGAAAAAAAGCCCATTTTCCAGTTAAATGTAATACGGATGTGGGTAGTTGTTAAACAATACAGATAAGACAAACAGTTTAACAAAAAGAAAAGATAATCAGCAGTAACCAGAAGAATGAAAATAAACATCATATAAATTTTATAGCCTATGTATCTAAATCTCCTGCAGTTACTTTAGGAACTGGAATGTGGGAGTGGATCATGTATCATTAGATGCTGAGTTCCCTTCCAGCTCCTAGGAAAAATAATGTGCTGACCCTTCATATTGACTCACTTATGTGTGAAAATTAAAAATATAGTTTGGTTATGTGGAAATAATAGAAAAAAATCAGAGGGTGTTTATTCAGAGCTTTTTGTGGCAAGGGAGTCAGCCCCCAATTGCTTGCATTTTTCAAAGACTCAAAGGCAGGGAGGGGAGTAGGAAAGTGCTTCGGTGAAAAAAAAGGGAAGGCTTTATGTACACTCTAATCCAAGGTTGTTGACCTGGGAAGCTAGACATGGGCTATCTGGAATCTAGTGTGATTCTATGTGATTGGTTTGGGGAGCATGTCTGGCTTCCTCTGGTTGGTCTTGAGTGAGAAGTGGGGTCAAAATTCAAGAACTTGGCAGTCACTGACCAATTCTGACCATTCTGAGCCTACTGCCCAAAGTTATGGTTTGGCCTCCAAGGCTGGTTGCTGCAGAGGTTATGGGTCAGAGTTTATTATATTATTAAGCCATTGTCCATTTGTATATTCAGACTGTCAGCCATGTTAATATCCTATTACTATCAAAATTTAAAATCACTATTATAATTACTATGAGTTTTATCCTTTGGTGCTGTTCTTACTCACACTCATAAAAGTTGAGATCAAGGTTTAAGGTGGACTGTCCCACACCAAAGCCAAGGATGTATTTTTAAAAATGTTTAAACAAGTAGGATGCCTAAAATATGCTCTTGATTTGTACATACACATATAAGGTAGTCTAGACCTGAGAGAATCATTAAACAAATCCTTGCAGTTTCTAACCCTGAGCAGGCAATATAAAACAGCTCTATTGCAAACTAATCCTTATAGTTTACAAGGTCAGCTCTGAGGTGTCAGTGTGGGGGTCAAATTTGAAAGCCTACTGTTTTTCTTTGTCTCTAGAAGCTTAACATGGGGTCACTCCTGTCCTACTCCCTACCACTTTGGCTAGTCACTATATCATAGTGGTAGCTGTTTAGTGGGGAGAATTGTCTGAGACGCTCTCCAGGGTTCTCAAAGTTGAATTTCAGTGTATAGGAAAGTATGTAAGGCTACTGTAAGCCCTTTAAATTTACCAACTACATGTGCAGAGCCAGAAGAGGACAGACAAAAACTCAATTCTGTTTATGTGAGTATATTTTTCATTAAAGCCTTCAGTTTTAAACTCCCTTGGTTTCAACAATGATGTGGATGGATTGTAGAAAAAAGATCTTTTTGGAAAAAAACATCTATGATGTATCATGGGGGGAGGGGGACATAGAGCTAAAAGGAAATAGAATCTAGTTATGAGGGAAATGGCAAATAATACCACTTCACAACAACAGGATGTTTATGATGAAAACATTAGATGATGAATGTTGGCCAGCATGTGGAGAAATCAGATCCTGCAGTCACTGCTTTTGGGAATATAAAATGGTATGGCCAATTTGGAAAATAATCTGTCAGTTCCTCAAAAGGTTAAACACAGAGCTGCCATTTGACCCAGGAATTCTGCTCCTAGATAGATACCTAAGAGAAATGAAAACATATGTACACACAAAATACTTATACACAAATGTTTTTAGCATCATTATTTATAATAGCCAAAAAGAGGAACCCTAAATGTCCTTCAGTTAATGAATATACAAAATAGAATACAGTGTATTATTAAGTCATAAGAGGAATAGAGTACTGATCCATGCCACAACATGGATGAGTTTGGAAAACATTTTGCTAAGTGAAAGAAGCCAGACACAAAAGACCATGAGTGACATGATTCCATTTATATGAAATGTCCAGAATAAACAATATAGAGAATCAGAAAGTGGATTAGTGGGAGGGGGGACTCTTAAAGGGTATGAAGTTTCTTTGAGGTGATGAAAATGTTCCAAATTTGATTGAAGTGATGGTTACACAATTCTGAACATACTAAAAACCACTGAGTTGTGTACTTTAAATAGGTGAATTGGATGATACGTGAATTATGTCTCAACTGTTATCCAAAAATCACTAAAACAACTTCTAACCCAGGCATTTGGGTTCAATTTTGTCTTTGTGGTTCTCATGTTATTTTTTAATCTTTTGAGATTAATTTTAGAGAGAAAAGTCACATGACATAGTGGTTAAGGAGCAAAGGTTTTGAAATCAGAAAACTGGTGGTTTCAATACTTTCAAGCTGTGTATCTTTATGTAAATTATCTCACCTAACTCTTAATTTCCTAAACGGAAAATTGAGAATAATAATACTAAGCACATTAGGCTATTAGAGGCTCCTCACAAAGAAGAATGTGTTAGCTGCTAACATTGAGTCAGGTTAGCTTCTCACCAGTATGGCAGTCTGAAACAGGAGTTAAGTCTTGCCTGTGAGCACGACAGCATACAGAATGATCGGAATGGAGAGGAACTCCAGAAGTTCACGTCAAGAAATAGCTACGAGTGGTAGGCATTTAGTAGTGGGTATAGTGTAGAGGGGAGAGGAGGTTGAAATAAGATGCAGCTCCCTCAAGTCCCAGGACTTTACTGTCTGTGGTAACACTGAGGGTTGAAGGTACACTTTCTTGGGTCAATAATTTTAAATGTAATATAGTTTTAAGACATGAGTTTGCACCAAGTATTACAGGAGCAAGAAGAGAGCCAATGAAAGGCTTCCACAAGAAGGTATAGTGGAGAAGAGGACCATCAAGATGAGCTGTGAAAAATGAGAAAATGTGCCCAGTAAAGAAAAAGACTAGAAGAGTTTATCTCTGCTGGCAGAAACAGTACAAGCAAACTCCTACCAAAGTCCATTATGTGCTGACTCTCAGTTTTATATCCAAAATTCTGGTTTATGTCAACTGCAAACTCAAAATTTTCATTTGGATTGCTACAAGACTTCTTATACTTTTCCTCTCAACATGTCCACTTGCAGATTTCTCTGTCTCTGTTGATGGCAACTTTACCAGTCTGTCTGTTCAGGCCGAAAACGCTGGAGTTATTCCTAATTATGCTGTTCCTTTTCTACATCCAACTTCTCAGAAAGTCCTCCCTACTCCCCGAGGTTAGACAGGGCCTTCCTGGCTTGCCTGGCTGTATTGAGAGAAGAGTAACTGTCTTGGGCTGCATACAAAACATAGTTACTGTGTATATATAACAAAACTGGCTTTATTTTTCAATTTAAAAAGTTTTGGGGGTTTTTTTGGTATGGGGGATCGAACTCAGGACCTTGTGCTTGTGAGGCAGGCAGTGGAACCACTGAGCTAAATCCCAGCCCAATTTTTAAAAAGTTAAAACACAAATGTGTCCACAGGCTCCAGTTGGACATGTCTGCTAGGCTCTACCTTCAAAATGGATGCAGAATCTGAGTCTAGACAGCACCCAGGGTGATTCTTTTCTCCTAAAAGCAAACACGTGACACCTCTGGTCAAACTCTCCTATGGTTCATGTCACTCAGAGTGAAAACCAGAGACCTTTCCAGGGCCCACAAGGCCCTTAAGATGTGTTCTCCTCATCTCTCTCTCTACTGAATTCTTTGGGCCTTTTGATTTCGTCCGGCCAAAATGATTTTTTTGGTTTTTTCCTATGTCATATTGAAAAAGCAACAAATGTAACCAGGCAAGTGTTCTGCTTCGTTGAAGTATAAGCACTATCTTACTCCTTGCTTGTTCAACCATTCACATACTTGTGGGACACTGGCCATTCATGAGTGTCCCCTACACAGAGGAGACAAATGTGGAGCCACTCAGTGTTCAGTGTGTCAGAGTTGCATTAGATGATTTTGCTTTCATCGTGGAGGGGGTTTTTGAGAGGCACTTCAAAGGAAGCAAAGACTGGAAGAGGCCAAGTTAGGAAGTTTTTACAATCTAGATACAGGGGAGGCCGTACTAAAGCTATGATTGTTAGTGGGAGTGGAGAGGGGACTCTAGATTCCAGAAATACTTTAAGTTTAGGATTGGTAGGCCCAGGCTGAATACATATGAAGTTTGGAGGGAAAGTGTTAGGAAGGAAACTCCCAGGTTTCTGGCTTGACTCACATGGTGTTTGAAGGTACTACTTAGACAATGAAATCTGAAGATAAAGGACTGGGAAGGCATGTGTTTCCTCTGGGGCATTTGTTGTGAACAGCAACCAACCAGACACGGGGTTTCTTGAGGTTTGAGAGGCCGGCGCTGGGCATTGGAGTTACCTACAACCTTCCCGAAAATGTAATTTTTTTCTACTTACGATTTTTGTTGTTTTCAAATTTCACTCTTCATAAAGTCTTCCATTGTAACTTTTTCCCAGACACGCACTCTAGGGCATTTCAGTTTATTGCCCCCTCTTCAACAGCCTCCTGGGGTGACTTTTAAAGCTTGGTTATCTTGAACATGCAGCAATCCTAACCGAATGCAGCCAAAGCGCAGGGTGAGAGCTGGTTCCTACAGCTCACGGACATGTACCTTCGTCCGATATTTGGCACCGAGAGCAGTGTGCTGTCTGTCTACGGCTTTACCAGGAAGAGCCCTGGGCTCCGTGGAGAGCGCTGGCCTAACCAGCTCCGGAGGAGGAGAAACTCCTGAGGCCGGGCGGCCCTTCCCTCAGCAGGTCACCCTGCCTGGGCTGGCGGCGCCGGATGTAACGGGCGAGAGCCGCGGTCGTCACAGTAACGGCCGGGCCTGTGGGACTCATCCCGCCGCGCGGCCCGCATTGTCCCGGCTCCACGGCGACGCGGGAGCGGCGGGACACGTGAGCCTCTAGCCCCGCCCGGCCTCGGCCCTGGGCCGCTGCCTCGCGCCGCACTGACGCGGCGGCACGGATGGGCGCGGGGACCGTGGCGGCGCCATGCCCGAAGAGCGGCTCTCGGCGGGTAGGGGCCAGACCTGCCCTCCACGACGGTGGGGGCAGCGGCGACGCGGCCCCCTCCACGCGTGTCACCCGGAGTCTCGCCCCCGCCCTCACCGCCGCCTCGCGCTGCCTCCGTCCCCAAGTCGCCGGCCCCAGGGTCCCCGAGGCCTGGCGTCCTCCCCCCAGTTCCCGCCTGAACCCGGCCACGTGCGTGCGGCCGCGCTCCTTGTTCATGCCCTAAGGAAATTACATTTGAGTGAGATAATGTTATGTTTTTCTCTTTTCAGAGCCACCAGATATCACAGAAGCAGGGTTTGTAAGTACAGTTTTCAGGAGCTACTTATTTTATTTTTCCAAAATAGCAAATACCATATGATAGAAGAAAATTGTATATTTTTCTTTTCTTTCTTTTTTTGGGGGGGGGGTCACCTGAGTCGTTGAAGCTTTGGTTTAGTAACAATGATGATAATTTTGTAGAAGCTTTGGTTTTAGTAACCATGATGATAATTTTGTTCGAGATCATTCTTACGTTATTTCACAGGTACATTTTTAAGAAAAGGCCGCTTGGTTTGTGTGGTGGACGCTAATCACTGTTAAAAGTTCTTTCCCTTAAATGACCCTCTTTAGTTTCTCTGAGCTTTTTAGCGTCTCTAGGAGAGGTAGGTTTTATCTCCATGGTTTTGTTGTGATGTGGCTGTGCAGTTCCTGGTCACAGTAAACATTAGTGTATGGCTTTGATTGTGAGTTGATTTCTAATTCCTTTAAAATTTTTCTTTATATTTTGTTCTCAGTTCAGACTTTTGGAGAAATTGATAATAACAAATATTTTGCCAAATATATATGGGGAAGGAAAGGGGATGAAGAAAAGTATTATATACATGTACCAACTCCCTACAATGAATATAATCATTATGTACTGCAAACATGTACTAATAAAAAATACAAATGTATACATTATCATTTGGGTGAGTGCTATTTTAGGACAATATTTTATATTTAAGGAGCTTGCTCAAGGACAGGAAATAGCAAGACCTAATAACTACTAAGAGCTGAGCTTGATTCCAAGAGCCCTAAACACTTCTATTATTTACTCATGTTCTCCAGTACTTACTTCTCTTGTTGACTGATTATCTTATTTGCTTTTGGCTTTGTATTCAAACAGGTACGAGTGATGGTACATTCAAAGTGCAGTCCTAGCCAGGTCTGGTGGTACATGCCTGTAATCCCAGATTTCTGGGGGGGGGTTGAGGCAGACAGATCACAAGTTCAAGCCCAGCTTGAGTAACTTGGCCTGGGGATATAGTTTAGTGCAAAGGCTCTGGGTTCAGCCCTCAGTACCAGGAAAAAAAATGCAGTCCTAGGTGCTGAGGATAAGTCTCAAAAGTTCAGTCTAGCAGGGCCTAGAACTGAGAGCTAAATTTGCATACCCTCATATCTTCCACTTTCACCCTTGCAGACCATTAGATCCTTTTTATTTTTGTTTATTTGTTCTTTTGGTACCAGGGATTGAACTCTGGTCTTTGCGCTTGCGAGGCAGGCGGCAGAACCACTGAGCTAAATCCCCAGCCCTAGATCCTTTTTATTTTAAGACAGGGTCTCCTTAGAGTCACAAAATTGCCCAGCCTGGGCTCAAACTTGTGATCCTCCTGCCTCAGCCTCCCAGAGTGCTGGGATTACAGGCATGCACCGCCACTGCCTTCTCTCATTCTTTTTCTCCCTCTCCAGGGTCTCTATCATTTCCCATGAAAATATTGATGTAAGTCTACCCTCCTCCATCCTGGACCCCACTTCTGTTGTACACTGGCTATTGGGCATCTCTGTCATCTCAATGTCCCTGCATCACTTCAAGAGAACTTTTATCTCCACTACCCCATCCCTAATTCTGTTCTTCCTCCACTTTTTCTTATCTTGGTTAATGGCACCACTGGCTATTCAGTCACCCAAGTGAGAGCCTTTCTGCCTTTTTCTTCATCTCCTGCCTGCAAACATTTGCCAAGTGCCTTTCATAGCCAAATCATTTCTCCATTCTCATAGCTACTGTCTTCGTTCAGGCCTTCGTTCAGGGGCCTGGACTTTGGCAGTAGTCCTGATATCCCTGCCTTCAATATTTCCTCTGCCAACTCCAGTTTTTTCTTTGTCTGAAGTATAAAATGCAAACTCCTGTGCATCACCTGTGCTAGATTCCATGCTGTTGCTTCGCTCTGTCTACCTTTTGTTTTTACTTCTCCCATCACTGCTACCCTGGCTATCAAATTGCTGTTGAACTCTAAAATATTACCATGTTATTTGACTTTGCAGAGCTTTTATTAATAGCTAATATGTATTGAATGCTGACTACATGTTAATATCCAGCCTCAAAACAACCCTTATGAGGTGGTTATTGTTACCCATCTTTCACAAGTAAGTTGAAGTTACAGAGCTCAATCACTAGGCCCGAGGCTATACATTGAGTAAAGGTTCAGACACTTGGCCTTAGCATAATTTTTCGGTCTTCTTTAACCTTACCTTCCAATTCTCTGTAATAAAGGCGACATTCATCCTGTTTGGGGTTTGTAAAGTACTTCCACATGCCTTCTGCTCCAGCCAAGCTACTCTGCTTGGCTCCTGCCTTTGCTGTCGAGTTTTGTCTCAGTTGCCCTTCCCCATCCATTTCACAATCTTGCACATTTTTCCAGGCCCAGATCATCTCCTCAGTGAAACCTTTCCAGGCTAACATCATCCAGACTTAGAGCTCAGGGCAGCTTTCCACTGAGACCAGTTTGTGAGCAGATCCTCAAATTCACATACTTAACCAAGTATTTTCAGATTAACCAACCTGTCTTGAACACATATTTGCCTTTGTTTTTCCAAAGTGCAAAAGTATTGCTCTGATTAATAAACTACATATTCTTATACAAAGTGTGACAGAGACGCATATCTCCCTAAACGCCAACTCTCCTTTTCCTTAGTAGATACTAGACACTTACAGATTACATTTGGTAGTGTCCCCTGTGGCCAAATGTGGCTGTGAAACAATTCTGGTCATTAGGATGTAAGCAGAAGTATGTGTTCTACTTTGGGAAAGCTGATGTTTAGAGAGATCAAATTACTACTCCTTAGGTGACACAGTTGGTAATTGGGTGAACCACAATTGAAAGCCAGGTTATTCTGACTTTTAATACTAAACATACACGTAGAGAGAGGGGAAAATGAACCCTTTTTCTTTTTTGATGGCTGCAAAGAAGGATGTGATGCTGGAGTTGAAGCAGTCATATTGGTTCATGAGATGGAAGCGACATCTTGAGGATGGCAGTCACAAGATCAAAGGGGCCTGGGCTTCTGATGTTTGGGAAGCTACAATGCCAGCCTTGCACTGCTTCTGATTATAAGAAATGAATAAACTTGGGTTTCTTTTCAGTGATGCTTTTTTGGTGTGGTGATCCTGTGTTCCTTTTTTGGTATGGTGATCCTGTGTAACTTTTTATCATATTTTATTTTCTCAATCACTGGATCTAAAAGTAGGTTATTGTTGGTGTCTGCAAAATATGTTTTCCTTAAAACGGGATCTTCATCCTCAATGCATAGAGCAAGTCATTTAGAATCAGTCATTTTTTTTTCAGGAGCATACTACTGTGTATATTCCATATTCAAATGTTTTATGTGTAAATTTTGGAGTTTCTTAACCAAAATATTAGTTCATATAGTGTACAATGTGTCTCAGTAGACCTTAATATTCCCTATAGCATGTACAGCACAATGTCCAGAATATGTCATAAGATGATTAAATCATTTTGATTTATGGATATTTTTATGTGTAATTGTCACTGTTTTCTCTTTCTTCTTTTTGTGCAGTTTTATTTGATATTTATTACACATTTCTTAATTACTATCTTCTGACATTTTTCTACTTTAGCATCTTTATTATTGTGTTTGATTGCCATGTCTTTGGTAACTTAGGGAAAACACAAAAATTTAATATATTCAGCTCTTCCATCAGTTTTCTTGTATAATGTGTTTTTGATTATATAAGCAATGTATATAATTCAAATAATATAGATAAAATGAATGCTTCTCTTCACTACTTCTGTTAGTCTTAGCCTCTCTCATTGCCTTAATTTTACATAAAAACTGAAATATAAACCTACCATAGCAAATAGTTCAGAATGCTTTATGATACATTGGGATTTAATTACATGTATGTATGCATTGAGAAAAGTTTGAAGTGAAGCGACTCCTAGATTTTTAGCATTAAAATAGAATATACTAATATTAAAGATTTAAGTATGTATCTGAGTTTCTTATCTTTTTTGTGTGTGCCTTAAAAAGTTTGTTTGCAGTTATGCTAATAGCTGTGTCATGCTTCAAAAAGAGTTTTTATAGAATAAAGCCATTATAGTATTATGATTATTTTGTTGAAAATTTTCTGATATATAAAACTACAGTTATATTAACTTTAAAGCAAAATAGAAGTTGTTTAAAAAGAAAAAAGACTTCTTTTATCTCAGCCATCAAATTCAAAGGGAATTTAGTTTAAAGCAGTGTTTATTGCATTTTACTTGTTAAAAATGTATTCATTTTGCTGCGTGTGGTGACACACGCCTATTCCCAGCACTTGGGACCCTGAAGGAGGAGGGTCTCAGTGAGTTGGAGACCATCCTGAGCCACATAGTGAATTCAAGGCCAGCTTGACCTCCATAGTGAGAACTTGTCTCAAAAAAAAATTCATTTCAAGGCAATATTCAGCCTGTTCAAATTCATATCCTGTTATTTTATAGGTTGAATGAAATAATAAACTGAGATCATAAGAATACTTTTATTTTAATATAAAATATTAAAAGTTCTATAATTGCAGTCTGCATGAATAAGACTTTCTAAT